ATAATAAATATAAATAAGTTGAAGAAGTTGACTATGTTAAAAATGTTGTAAATGTTGTCAAAGTTAATTACGCTAATCAATGTAGATCTTTATGGCGCAGTAATTTTTACGAGGTCCGGTATCAATGTATAAGAATAAAAGGAGATTCATGATCAATATATCACCAATATTATAAATATTATAAATAAAATTTACAAGGTCTTATTATTATATATTGTTCATCACACTCTAAATGTGAGTATTTATCTAACAAATTAATAGAATATTTGTCTAATCTTTCAATAGATTATTTTTACGTGATGATGAAAAAAAAATATATATAAATAATTGGAAATCTAATAATACAAGTAATAGTTACAACATCTGCTTTTAGTATGGGAATCAATTCAAATGATGTATGTGTTATTATTCATGTATGAGTACCAATAAGTATAAGTATATATACTAAATTTGTTTATATTTATATATATTATATTTTTAATTTATATATATTTTATAGCTAATCTTATTCAAGAAGCTGAACGCGTAGAACAGGATGAAAATATAGTAATGCATATTATTTTTTTAGTAAAAAAGATATCTATACAAACTATTCTATAATAGCAGAATATTAGAAAATGTAAGTAATAAATTATTTATTTTTATAAATTAATATATTATTTACATTATTTATTAATTTTTTATATAGAGAGTCTATTATTACAAATGCTTTAGCAAATGAATAAAATTTGATTAATAAACTTGAACAAGCTACTAATAAAAGTTTTAAAGTTTTTCACTATTGTAATTCACATTATGAATGTCATCAACAACTAATTTAGCAGTATCAAGCATAGCCAGAAGAAGTAAACCACCTATATGTGAAAAATGTGATAATTGTATTAAAAGAATTGCTAATAAACCAAAGTTATTTGACGGTAAAGAAAAAATAATGAAATTATTAGAAGCAATAGAATTTTTAACACAAAAAGAACAACAAATTAGTCCAGATGACATAGTAGATATTTTTAGAGGTGGAAAAACAGTAAAAATAAAGCAAAAGAATTGGGATACTTTACAGTATATACAGTATATCTGACTGAAAAAAGAAAGGTATTGAAAACAAAAGAATTGGTTCAGTTTGCATTAGCAGATTTAGTTGTTCATAGTTTGGTATAAGAAAAAATTATATTACGAAGCCTTTCTGAAGGTAGTATAGGTTTATCTAGTAGCATTATTGTAATTGGTATAATATTTGATGTACAAGTAAATGTTAATATGCAAATATAGAATTATTTCGTTAAATAAAAATATTGACTTCATAATTTCTACCAAAATTATTAAGATCAGTTTTTGTTACACAAAAATAAATAAAAAAAATTAGTTGCATAAAAATGATTGACATTGACTCTACCCTTAATATCATTTTAAATAGAATTTTTTGCTTTTTTACTACAAATCTTTCATATAGGTGATATGCTATTAAAATTGAGATATGAGACATAATAAATTATATGATCCGTATCTTAATTTTAATAGATTATCACCTATATGCTTTAAAGTTTAAGAATTCAAATAAATATACAATTATATTTCTAGCATTTATGATTAATGAGTTATAAACTTTAAAATCAATTAAATTGATATAAAATAAATTAGTCAATTAAATTAAATATCTTAATAGATCTAATGTCTTTTATAGATCTATTGGACTTATTTAATTTATTAGATTCATTAGCTATTAATTTATTAGATTTATTAGTTAACCCTGATTAAAAATGAGCATCATAATTAAAAAGTTGCAACTTGGTTGCAACTCCTTGTAAATTTATTTTAATATAAAAATTAATAAATAGTTGCAATTTAAAGTATTGCAACTTAAGTTGCAACTAGTTAAAAATTTTAAAAATAATTATGAGAACCATCTTTAAGATCAAATAGATAGATTTATATAGTCAACACTCAATATAATAATTCTTGATATAATAATCACTTAATAAAATCTTGTTAAAACGATTTTTTTTAAAAATTTTGATTTTTATATTTGAACATATAAAAATTATTATATAGAACTTATAACTTTTAATAAACTGATTCTTTTTAAAAAATTTATAGTAAACTGAAAGATTCATTTAGTAGTATCAGCTGTTGGAGTCAGAGTCGACGGCTGAGTCGACTCTAAAGTCGAGTCGACTTCAGAATTTTTAATGACTGAGCTGTGACTGAGTCATTGTTTCAAATTTGATATAAGTTCAGAATATTGTGAAATTTTTAATTAAATAAAACTTCAAACTCTTAGTCAAATGGAATTCTTGTCAATATTATTTATGATGAAACTTATAATTATCTACTTTTTTCAATATTATTAAATTTTAAAATTTTTTGATAAATATTAAGATAATTATGATCGATAATTTCAAATGAGAGTCTTGACTCAGTCGACAGCTGAGTCAGCTGAAAAGTCTCTAATAGCTGACTGAGTCGACTCCAGAATTTGTTATGACTGGTATTACTAGATTCATTATATTAAGTTTTGACTGTATTATTAATTGAAATTAAAAAAAATTGAATATGTGATAAATCATTTATCAATTATTTATTAATTAAATATAATTATAATCAGCCAAGAATTATAAATAATTATTTATGATCAATTTGTATAAATTAGAAATTCAAAATATATTAATCTGATAATTTGTAAATAAATTAATGGATTATTTTACATCAATAATAATAATTTAAAGAAAATAAATAACTTTTAAGCTAATAAAACTTTTAAATAATATATAAAAAAATAATAGGAAAAGTAATTAGTAAATTATTTACATGATTTAAAAGAAAATAAAATGACAAAATTTAATATTTGATATTTTTTATTAATTATATTAATAACTAAATATTCTTTTTCTTTGCTAAGTTAAAATTATAAATTTTACCTGTTATAACTAAGGATTGAAACTGATTTTAAAAAGTAAAATCAAATTAAAAAGTTGATTAATCATGATTAATTAAATCTTAAGATTCAATTATAAGATTGATTCTAATCAAATTTATTTTATGAAGAAATAATTTTGATCATAATTTTAATTGAAATTAGCATTTTATTTAATCAATTTTGAAATTAATTAATTTTTTTATATAATTTGAATTGATTTTTCAAAAATATTTTTAATTTTTTTTTTATTTTATTTTTGTTTTTAATTTAATTTTTTTTAATCAATCACTTTATTTTATTATTATTTTTTCTCAAATAAATAAAGTATTATTTAATTTTATGTTATATTTATTATATTAATAAAATAGATTCAATTTTTTATTCAATTTATAATTAATTGATTCTAATTTGATTTTTGATTAATTCAATTTTGATAAAATTAATTCCAACCTTTATATATTAATCAGCCTAAAATATAATATAATATTATTACACAATTATGATTTTTAAGGTAAAAATTAGTATTTTATAGTTTAATATTATATATTTCTTTATCATTAAAATGATATCAAATATTTGAAGAACTTGTTAGATAATAATAATAAATATATGCAAAAAATTTTGTCAATATATATAGCAAATCAATTATATGAGTAAAATAGTATTAAATTTAATTTGAATAATAGTCATTTATCTAATAAATTTATCTAAAATATATATGAACTTTTCTCATGATATTATTCTTATAAGAAATTTAAATAAGGAAATAATATATTTTTTATAAGATTTGTATACATAATTAATGATTCTATATCACAATTTTATATATTTTATAATAGTTTATTTTTTTATAATTTTTTAGAATAAGATATAACGTTCTGTCTTAGTTAGTAATCTATCATAAGTTATACAGTGATATATGTTAGTTTAATTTAGCCTCTAATCAAGGTAAATTATAATAATTATTTATAGAATTTACCAGTTCAATTTCAGGAATGGATTTTATAGGATGCGTACAAACTATATATGCTAAAGATTACGAATTTGTAGAATATAGTAACTATAATATTATCTATTTAGTATAATAGTAGCTACCACTAACTAGTGTAAGTTCACTTTGTCTAAATCCATGTCTTTTTGATAACAGATAAAGGTAATAGATAAAATTACCTATAGTGAACCAATTGAATTTGAAACCTATAATTAAGACTGATCTGTAATAAATAAGTATCATATTGTTTTCAAAAAGTATTTATAAGGATATATAATTTTGATTGAACAATAGTTATAGGTTATAGATGGTTGATATTATATTGTTTTTATCATTGTGATGCTTATATTAGGATTTAGATATGGTCCTCATAATTATTTTTAAATTTTAATTGAGTTGCAATTTAATTGCATTACAAGTTGCAACTCAATTGCATTATTTTTTTTAATTATAGTATCCATTTTTAATTTAGAGACTTGAATTCAAATTTTTAGATTTTAATATTTACGTAATATTAAAAATGATTTCCATAATTATTTTTAAAATTTTTAATTCGTTACAACTTAAGTTGCAATTATTTATGAATTTTTATATTAAAATAAATTTACAAGAAGTTGCAACTTACCGAGTTGCAACTTCTTATCTTTAGGTGATATGCTATTAAAATTGAGGTATAAATCATATGATTTACTATATCTCGTATCTTAATTTTAATAGTTTATCACCCATATGATAAGATAACTATAATGTAGAATATCATCTTAGGTTATTCTTGACCCTCTTTCCAATAGTAGTAATAAATGTAAATGATGCAAATACTACAGTCAGGAGTATTTCCAAATTTGAAATTGATTCCAGAATATTCTGCTAATCATGCTGATCATTTTATATAGAAAATTTGTAAAACTTTGATGATCTATAAAATATTTTTTTTTTTGCAAAACTAAATGCTAAAATATATGCTTTTGAGTATATAGTATCAGAATCCACATAGATCCATAAGATCTTACAAAACAGTTTTTTTTAAATTAAATTTGAAACTAAGCTTTTTATATATGTTATTTCTGTAATTAATGATAACAAAATACTGAAAATTTACCTTATTTATTTGATCCTTTTGTTAATAGTATCTAGAAAATCAGTTAGTATAATGTGATACAAAAGAGGATCAGAGATGGTAACATGTATTAGCTGATGTAATAATAAAAAGAATAATAGAGACAGTCAAGTATTTTTCTAAATTATCTTTATTATTTGACTTTTTAAAAAATTATTTTTTATGTGAAAAACATTACAATCAAGTTGTTGCTAAAAATTCTTTTATTAACCAATTAAAAGAAAACAATTCAATTTTTTTAGATTCAGAAGAATTGCAAGCTCATGATTTGTTTAGAAAAATTTTTTCTGATTTTGGAGTCCAAGTTTCTTTGTCAGATCCAATACATGAAAGTCTTTTAAAAAGAATTAATGAGTTAAAAAATCTTAATAGGCAATTATTATTTGAAATAAAGAATTAAAAAAGAGGTTAATTGAAAAATTTAATGACCAATAAGATCACATTGAGTCTATAATAGAAATTGCTAAGAGGGAACGAAATAATGTGTATAAAGATATAACAGATTTAATGAAAAGTTATAAGCGATTCTGTTTGGATAGCCTTTTAGAACTTTTAGAGTATTCTTCTTCCAAATGGCTTGCTGAATGAAATCTGATTGTTGTAAAGTTTTTAAAAACTCTTACTTATAACAAAAATGAGCATCAATAAAAAGAAAAGCTTTTTAAGTGTGCAGTAGTAGTCAATGCTATATATAGCTCAAGGCATTTAGAATATATATCTGCTATTAATTTGGCTACTTCAGTAATTAAATGTTCATTGGCAAGGTCAAAAATAATTATCAATATTGATAATCATTTTATTAGCTTTAGTAGTTATACAAAGTTTATCAATTGGTTAGAAAGTTTAGCCAAAGATAATTATCACTTCCAGAAGGCTTTTTATTTTTAACTTTTAATAATGAATAAAAAGGTCAAAAAAATTACTTAGATCGTGAATATAATAGGGTTATATTCACTACTGTTACAAGTTTCATTAATTATGATTAAAACAATAATATTCAAGACATATATCCTTGGTTATATTTTGAACTCATCCAATAATAATATAAGAAGTTATTTTATCTAACTTCAGATATGAAAAATGAAATTCACTAAGAACTTACTAACTATCTTACTTTCATTTTAAAGGAGTTTTGCATTAAGAAAAGTCGAGAAGAAAATACTATTGATAAATTAGTAAATCAGCAAAGCCAAATGGGATATAAAAAAAATATTTAGTAGTTCAAACCTCTAATATTAATAATAAGA